TCTTCTTTCCCTGGCAGTGGTGATGAAGTTCTGGATAGATACCTATTGATCTCAATGCTAAGGCCGGGCAGGAGTCAATCTTTATAGCTTCTTGCTGATCTGTGAACACCTTGCTCCAATGACTTCCTAATTAAAGTGGAATAAAACTCTAGTTTAAAAAAATGCTAGTTGGCTGTTGGCCACAGCCAATCACAGGGGAGAAGGCTGATCAGATGGAGCCAACCTGCTGCTTGCAACAAGGCTTCCTCTTGAGAGACAGAGCTGGATCTAGCCTGTCCAATGTGGGGGTGCAGTAAAACATCAGGGGGGGGGGGGCAGAGGATGGGAGGTCAGCAGGACAGAGGACAGGGGTCCAGTTTTCTTATTTATGAAACTGTCAGTCCTCATGCACACGGGACGTTTTTACAACGGCTGTTTTTGGCTTTTGACATTTTTTTCTACAGCCAGTAAACCCCCCAGCATGTTATCCTATGTGTCCATACACACATAGACTGTAATCAACGTTTTTTGGCTGGGACGTTTTTTTTGGCTGGAAAAAAACCCCCCAGAACTAGTGGCTTTCTAGAGGAGTTTTTTAGTTGTTAAAAATGCTCTAACGCTGAAAAACACGACAAAACGTGGTAAAACGTGCTAAACCGCTCCAAACCGGCGTTTTTGGATTTTTTTTGACCCACCTGAATTTTCTGGGGGGTAAAAAAATGCTAAAAAACACAAACGTGGAAAAATGGGAGAATGCCACTAAACGATACAAAACGCTGCTAAATGCATAATCGTGTTTTTAACATGACTTTACACAGCTAACGTTACCAGCGTTATCAAAACGTCCCGTGTGCATGAGGACTTAAACCCATGTAGTCTAGTCCCAGAATGCATTTGGGTTACATTGGGGGGGGGGAGGTGAATTGATGAATCCATGTATGGTGCAGCCAAGGTACAAATATATTCTTTAGAATTCTTTTTAATTCTGTTTAATTGTCACAATGAACCAATCCTAAATGGCTGACTGGGCATATTATGTTCCTGCAGAAGTTAAGCAATTAGGTCTGGTGCTGAAAATGGAAAACAAAATTATGTTGTAACTGTAATTTGCTGATACAGCCATATTACTTAAAGGGAACCTGTTAAAATAGAAAAGTGGGAGCCGCTACTATTACATTTTTTTGAAGACAATCACAGAGGTCAGACGTTTCCTGTAGTTGGCCCCCAGGTTTGCACACATCTCAGGAGGGATTTTGGCCCACTCCTCTTGGCAGATCTTCTCCAAGTCATTAAGGTTTGGTGGCTGACGTTTGACAACTCGAACTTTCAGCTCCCTCCACAGATTTTCAATCGGATTAAGGTCTGGAGACTGGCTAGGCCACTCCAGGACCTTAATGTGTTCCTTCTTGAGCCACTCCTTTGTTGCCTTGGCCGTGTGTTTTGGGTCATTGTGATGCTGGAACACCCATCCTCGACCCATTTTCAATGCCCTGGCTGAGGGAAGCAGGTTCTCACCCAAGATTTGATGGTACATTGCCCCGTCCATCATCCCTTTGATGCGGTGCAGTTGTCCTGTCTCCTTAGCAGAAAAACACCCCCAAAGCAGAATATTTCCACCTCCATGTTTGACAGTTGGGATGGTGTTCTTGGGGTCATAGGCAGCATTCCTCCTCCTCCAAACACAGCGAGTTGAGTTGATGCCAAAGAGCTTGATTTTGGTCTCCTCTGACCACAACACTTTCAGCCAATCCTCCTCTGTATCATTCAGATGTTCAGTGGCAAATGTCAGATGGACCTGGACATGTGCTTTCTTGAGCCGAGGGACCTTGTGGGCACTGCAGGATTTTAATTCTTGTCAGCGTAGTGTGTTACCAATTGTTTTCTTGGTGACTGTGGTCCCGGCTGCCTGGAGATCATTGACAAGATCCTCACGTGTAGTTCTGGGATGATTCCTGACTGTTCTCATGATCATTGACACTCCATGAGGTGAGATCTTGCATGGTGCACCAGACCTAGGGAGACTGACAGTTGTTTTGTGTTTCTGGTCTGGGGAGACTAGAATATAGTGAATGCAGGGTCCGGGGAGATCAGATATAGTGAATGCAGGGTCCGGGGAGATCAGATATAGTGAATGCAGGGTCCGGGGAGACCAGATATAGTGAATATCAGGGTCCGGGGAGATCGGATATAGTGGATTCAGAGTCCGGGGAGACCAGATATAAGGGAATGCAGGGTCCGGGGAGACCAGATATAGGGAATGCAGGGTCCGGGGAGACCAGATATAGTGAATGCAGGGTCCGGGGAGATCGGATATAGTGGATTCAGGGTCCAGGGAGACCAGATATAGGGAATGCAGGGTCCAGGGAGATCAGATATAGTGGATTCAGGGTCCGGGGAGACCAGATATAGGGAATGCAGGGTCCGGGGAGACCGGATACAGTGAATGCAGGGACCGGGGAGACCAGATATAGTGAATGCAGGGTCCGGGGAGATCGGATATAGTGGATTCAGGGTCCGGGGAGACCAGATATAGGGAATGCAGGGTCCGGGGAGATCAGATATAGTGGATTCAGGGCCCGGGGAGACCAGATATAGGGAATGCAGGGTCCGGGGAGACCAGATATAGTGAATGCAGGGTCCGGGGAGACCAGATATAGTGAATGCAGGGTCCGGGGAGACCAGATATAGGGAATGCAGGGTCCGGGGAGACCAGATATAGTGAATGCAGGGTCCGGGGAGATCGGATATAGTGGATTCAGGGTCCGGGGAGACCAGATATAGGGAATGCAGGGTCCAGGGAGATCAGATATAGTGGATTCAGGGTCCGGGGAGACCAGATATAGGGAATGCAGGGTCCGGGGAGACCAGATATAGTGAATTCAGGGTCCTGTGTTAGCAACACTTTAAGACATTTTTTTTTAATAGGATACGTTTCACAGCAGAAAGTGATAAATGTTATTTTTTTTTCAAAATGTTCAGTCTTTTTTTGCTTATATCGCAAAGCAATAAAAAAAAAAAAAACCCTATGACGATCATATACCATCAAAAGAAATGAGTGAAATGATATAAATTTTGTTTGGGTACAGCATTGCATGACTGTGCAATTACCAGTTAAAATAGTGCAGTGCGGTATAGCAGAAAATGGCCTGGTCATGAAGGGGGTAAAATCTTCCAGAGTTGAAGTGGACATAACGACTGGAATATACAGCGTACACAGGCCCCTTGTATTATTATTATTATTATTATACATGATTATATATATTATTATTATTATACAGGATTTATATATTATTATTATACAGAATTTATATATTATTATTATTATACAGGATTTATATTATTATTATACAGGATTTATATATTATTATTATACAGAATTTATATATTATTATTATTATACAGAATTTATATATATTATTATACAGGATTTTATATATTATTATTATACAGGATTTTATATATTATTATTATTATACAGGATTTATATTATTCTTTATTATACAGGATTTATATATTATTATTATTATACAGGATTTATATATAATTATTATTATACAGGATTTTATATTATTATTATTATTATACAGGATTTATATATATTATTATTATACAGGATTTATATTATTATTATTTATACAGGATTTTATATTATTATTATTATACAGGATTTATATATATATTATTATTATACAGGATTTATATGGCGCCAACAGTTTGCTCAGCGCTTTACAATATAACAGGACACAATACAGCAATAATACAGTTCAATACAAGAGGGATAGGAGGGCCCTGATCCTTCGGAGATTATAAATAGAATCAGCCAGGTTATTACCCAACTTTAATTACCAAACATTTGTAATTGGGGTGTGTGTGAATGAAATGGATGAGCTGGAAAACCTGACTGTAAATGAGTTTCCTTCTGATCCTTACACTTTGCTGCATGCTGGTGGGCAGGCAGCTTAAGCAGAACAGTGACTCCTTTGCCTTTACTCAGAAATCTCATTTTTTGGTTCTCTGCTCTGTCGGTCATGGAGGCTCAACATCACATGCATTCCCTGGGGTGGTGGGTTTGTTTCAGAAAGGTATGTGCAGCCCCTCCCATCGACCATGATCTGCCTGCATTGCATAGAAGAGCACAGAGATCTATTGATGCTGTCACTGGGTGTAAAACAAGCTTTGTAATGAAAATGGAATGGTTTTATTTAAAAACAAAAATCATTAGCATGTTGATGAAGGGGGGAAAGGAGTAAGCAGGGAAAGCAAAATAGAAGCAGATTAAACGTCAGCTTTAACAAATATCTTCATTGTTGCATTTTTTTCATGATCAGAAGGCAAAGGGGTGCAAGCCAGAATCCCCCTTTAATGTTCCATGGAAGTTGCTATAAGGGTCTGAATTGTAGTCATACATTTATTTTATCTCCGGAACATGAATTAATTGACATAACCAGCACTTAGAAGCCATGACATCAGTCCCAGGATCCATTGTCAGAGCTCATTATAAATAACAGGGCACAGCAATCTCTGTGACTTTGTAATGAATGGTGGTGCCAGCGGTGTGTGTGAACGCCGGGACACGCGGAGCACTGACTCATATCACAGTAGTCATGTCCTTTGTTGAGCAGCCTCCTTCTCAGCCCACATTCTTCATAGTCATCCAAGATTCTCTCCCGCCTTTACCTGGAAGAAGAATTCCACAAATTTACAATAAACACCGGAAGATGGCTGTGGATGGCCAGTACTTCCTCCTGCACCTTTTATAGCCACGGTGGTCAACTTTATATACATAGAGACAGCAGACACACGACAGGATATAGTCAAAGACTATGACATAAGAGATGGTCTGAGACTGTGGATATGGTATATCAGATGGTCAGAGACTGCCGACATGATACAAGAGATGGTCAGAAACTGCAGACATGATACATGAGATAGTCAGAGATTGCAGACATGATTCAAGAGATGGTCAGAGACTGCAGACATGATACATGAGATGGTCAGAGACTGCAGACATGATACAAGAGATGGTCAGAGACTTGAGACATGATACAAGAGATGGTCAGTGACTGCAAACGTACTACAAGAGATGGTCAGAGACTGCAGATATGATACAAGAGATGGTCAGAGACTGCAGACATGATACATGAGATAGTCAGAGACTGGAGACATGATACAAGAGATGGTCAGTGACTGCAAATGTACTACAAGAGATGGTCAGAGACTGCAGATATGATACAAGAGATGGTCAGAGACTGGAGACATGATACAAGAGATGGTCAGTGAATGCAAACGTACTACAAGAGATGGTCAGAGACTGCAGATATGATACAAGAGATGGTCAGAGACTGGAGACATGATACATGAGATAGTCAGAGACTGGAGACATGATACAAGAGATGGTCAGTGACTGCAAATGTACTACAAGAGATGGTCAGAGACTGCAGATATGATACAAGAGATGGTCAGAGACTGGAGACATGATACAAGAGATGGTCAGTGAATGCAAACGTACTACAAGAGATGGTCAGAGACTGCAGATATGATACAAGAGATGGTCAGAAACTGGAGACATGATACAAGAGATGGTCAATGAATGCAAACGTACTACAAGAGATGGTCAGAGACTGCAGATACGATACAAGAGATGGTCAGAGACTGGAGACATGATACAAGAGATGGTCAGTGAATGAAAACGTACTACAAGAGATGGTCAGAGACTGCAGATATGATACAAGAGATGGTCAGAGACTGCAGACATGATACAAGAAATGGTCAGAGACTGCGGACATGATACAAGAGATGGTCAGAGACTGCAAACGTACTACTACAAGAGATGGTCAGAGAATGCAGATATCATACAAGAGATGGTCACAGACTGTAGACATGGTACAAGAGATGGTCAAAGATTGCAGACATGGTACAAGATATGGTCAAAAACTGCAGACATGGTACAAGAGATGGTCAGAGACTGCAGACATGATACAAGAGATGGTAAGAGACTGCAGACATGATACAAGAGATGGTCAGAGACTGCAGACATGATACAAGAGATGGTCAGAGACTGTAGACATGGTACAAGAGATGGTCAGTGACTGCAGACATGGTACAAGAGATGGTCAAAGACTGCAGACATGATACAAGAGATGGTCAGAGACTGCAGACATGATACAAGAGATGGTCAGAGACTGTAGACATGGTACAAGAGATGGTCAAAGACTGCAGACATGGCACAAGAGATGGTCACAGATTGCAAACATGATGCAAGAGATGGTAAGAGACCGCAGACATGATACAAGAGATGGTCAGAGACCGCCGACATGGTACAATAGATGGTCAAAGACTACAGATATGCTACAAGAAATGGTCAGAGACTGCAGACATGTACAAGAGATGGTCAGAGACTGTAGACATGGTACAATAGATGGTCAAAGACCACAGACATGGTACAAGAGATGGTCACAGATTGCAAACATGATGCAAGAGATGGTAAGAGACCGCAGACATGATACAAGAGATGGTCAGAGACCGCCGACATGGTACAATAGATGGTCAAAGACCACAGATATGCTACAAGAAATGGTCAGAGACTGCAGACATGGTACAAGAGATGGTCAGAGACTGCAGCCATGGTACAAGAGATGGTCACAGACTATAGACATGGTACAAGAGATGGTCACAGACTGTAGACATGGTACAAGAGATGGTCACAGACTGTAGACATGGTACAAAAGATGGTCACAGAGTGCAGATATGATTCAAAAGATGGTCAGAGACTGCAGATATGATACAAGAGATGGTCAGAGACTGCAGACATGGTACAAGAGATTGTCAGAGACTGCAGACATGATACAAGAGATAGGCAGAGACTCTGGACATGTTATAGGAGTTGTTGAAGACTGGGGCAATTTTCAGGAGACAGTCATACACTTCAGACACATTACATGAGACTGCTAGAGATCACTGATATAATATGAAAATAGGGAAACAGAGATTAGTGTTTGCAGGGGCCCCTAGGGCCACACAAAAGTGACAAAGAGCCATAGGTTGGGCAACAGGGCTGTATAGACTGTCATCCCTTATCTGTCCTATCAGACCTCAGTCATGTCTAATCTCTCAATGACACAAAATAAGGAAGATCTGTGCAAAAAACCCCACAGACTCCCTTACATAATGCCCTGTGCCCTCTCCTGGGTGAATGCTCTGTTACATATGCACATTTCTTATACAGTGTATAGGTGTAACCAGGGGCAGACTGACAACTCATGGGGCCCCCCGGGCAATAGGGGATCATGGGGCCCCTGTGTCCTTGCCCAAACTCAAAAAAGCTTATGAAAAAGGTACCAGAGGCATCTCATGGGGCCCCCTACTGACCCCGGGCCCTTGGGCAGTGCCCGAGTTTCCAAATGGTCAGTCCGCCCCTGGGCGTAACACTACCCCTGCAGTGCTGAACTGATGTGCAGTCCCGCAGCATTACACCACCAATCTGTCTCTGTAGGAGAACGGCAGTCCCCATGTGTTCAGCTCCGAATCCTGCACCAAGAGAGCGAGCCAGTCCCCTGCAGTAGAATATATCTGTTCTCCCAGCATTGTTTTGGTTCCCCAGCTCTCTGGGAGTTCAATCAGTACTCAGGAATACAGGATGTATTGTCTATGGGACTACAGGTCCCAGGATCCTCTGCTATCACAAGAACTGGATCCACTCTGCCAATAGGAAGTGATGTAGGAGTCCCAGTACTGGGCACTTAGGGGGGAAAGAAGTAATCATAGTCTCATCTGTAAATGTCCCTGAATGGCATAATGATATAGCGGGTTCATATTATAAAGATCCGTTCACACCATCATATTATATGTGTGCTGAAAAACAGGATCACATGTGCTCCCTCTCCGGCTCCACTCCTCCACCACACCCCCCCCCACCGCCATCTCACACCTCTCTCTCACACCCTCCATGCCTCTTTCTCACCCCTCTCTCTCACCCCATGCCTCTCTCTCACCCCTCTCTCTCCCCTATGCCTCTCTCACCCCTCTCTCTCCCCTATGCCTCTCTCACCCCTCTCTCTCCCCTATGCCTCTCTCTCTCCCCCCCTCTCTCTCCCCCCCATGCCTCTCTCTCACCCCTCTCTCTCTCCCCTCCCACACCTCACTCTCATCCCCTCTCTCTCTGCCCCTCACCCCTCTCTCTCACCCCCTCCACCCCTCTTTCTCTTTACCCCCCCATTCCTCTCTCTCTTTAGCCCCCTCACCCCTCTCTCTCCTCCTCCACCCCTCTCCCCCACCCCCCTCTCTCACATCCCTCTGACCCTCCATGTTGCTCTCTCACCCCTCTCTCTCTACCCCCGCCCCCTCTCTCTCTTCCTCCTCCAGCCCTCTTTCTCTTTATCTTTACCTCATCACCCCCTCTCTCTCCCCCCCCCACCCCTCTCTCTCACCCCCTCTCTCTCCCCCCACCCCTCTCTCTCACCCCTCTCCCTCCCCACCCACGACTCTCCCACCCCTCCCTTTTCCCCCCCCCCCCCTCTCTCTCTCACCCCACTCTCTCTCCCCCCCCCCTCTTTCTGCCCCCCCTCCACCACTTCCTCCCCATCTTTCTGCCACCCCATCTCTCCCCCCCTCTATTCTTCCTCCCTCTTCCTTGTTTTCCCCCCTCTTCCCCCATCCCCTCCAACCTCTTCCCCTTCTCTCTCTCTCCCCCCGCCACCCCCTCTCTCCCTCCCTCCACCACTTTCTCTCCCCCATCTTTCTCCTCCACATCTCTCTCTCCCCCTCCAATCTTCCTCCCTCTCCCTCCTTTTCTCCCCCCCCCTTCCCCTTCTCTCTCTCTTTCCCTCTCTCACCCCTCTCTCCTCTCATTTTCTCTCTTCACTCCATTTTCCTTTATCTTTTTCCCACTTTCCCTATTTCTTTTTCAGACCGTTTTTTCTTTTTCTATCCTCTTTCCCCCTTTTCTCACTGAACCTTGGTTTTCCTTTTGTCCGTATCCATTTTTTTTTAGATTTTGCCTCCTCCATACTTGGATCTCTGTTTTGTCTTTGCTTTGTCTATATCCACCTTTTATTCTGTCCATATACCCTTCTTTCGTTACTATTTCCTGTTCTCTTTGCTCTCTTTTGTTACTGCATTTTGTTTCATTTTGAATATTCTTTTCCTTTGTTCTTTGTCCTTTCTTTTTTACTTTCATTTTCGTTTTTTTTTTGTTGTTATTTCTTTTTTATTTGTAACTTTATCTTTCACTCATCTCGCTCCCTTTTTTTCTTCTTGTCTCTTACTCTCTTCATTGCCTTACACCACATGTGTCAAACACAAGGCCCATGGGCCAAATCCTGCCCACCAGGCCATTTCATATGGCCCTCGCACATCTCCTGCAGCTGTGGCACCCCTATCTTCTCTGTCCCCACCTTGTCTCAGCAGTGGGCAGTAGAGAGGAGAACAAAACTTCTCCACCAGATCCTGTAGTTCCCGTGCAGCCATGGAGAGGCTTGTGTCTGCTTCCCTTCCTTTTCAGCAGTTGACAGCAGAGAAGAGGACAGAACTTCTGCAGACTCTGTGTCTCTCTGTGCAGCTGCAGAACCACCTTGTCTCTGCCTCCCCTGGTCTCAGCATTCAGCATACTCCAGCAGCTGACTCCAGCCCTCCTCTGGTGTTCCTCCAGACCCTTTTCTTTCTGCTTTCCAGCTCCACCCCCAGCTTCTTCTGACAGCAACGCACTGTGATGTAAGGGAGGGTGGGGGACTCTAGAGATCCGATGTAAGGAGGGTGGGGTGCTCTGGACATCTAGTCTTACAGATACAATCGGCCCTTTGAGGACAACCATAATACTGATGCAGCCCGCAATGAAATTGAGTTTGACACCCCTGCCTTACACCTATACCTTTTTTCATCTTTCCCTTGTTCCCTTTCTACCTTCATCTTCCTCTCTCTTCATTTTGCTTTTCTTCTTTTGCTTTATTTCCATTTTAGTTGCCCCATTTTCTTTTCTTTTCTATTTTATTTTACTTCCTTTTTCTTTACCCTTCTCCAACCCTTTTCTCTGTATTTTGTTCTGTATTTTCTTTTTTCCTTTCTCACTCCCTCCATTACAAAAATACCAGTCAAATCTGTAACATAACCAGGCTCTCTATGTGACTACAGTGTGATTTGGAATTCTGCAATATAACTAAGTGTACTCCACCTATGCTCCCGGCATTGCTTGCACTGGCAACTAAGACAAATGTTTGACTATATACTAGACACTAGATTGCCCAAAAATCTCCACGGACAGTCATAAGTAATGCATGATCCAACCACCCTCAAGCATCCCCTTGGAGTTTGTTACATCATCACAAACACAAATCAGCTTGGGCAAACATTTGTGTTGATGTGAGTCGAGAAGGGAATAGAGAGAGTTGATGGTAGATGCTGCCAACACCAGATACCAATTGGGAAGGGAGGACGGGTTTTCTCAATGAATGCACTCATTTTTTCAGGGTGCACCAAGACATTATCTTTTTACCATTATATCAGTTTAGGAATTTCCTGATGCCACTAATACAGTCTTCCCTGCCCACTAGTCTGCAAGTTTAACAGGACAGGTAATCAGCCAAATATTCAGAGAGAGAGAGAGTAACTGCAATTTCAGATTACTAAACAGGTGCAAAGTTAGAATCTATAATGTTAAATGGGGTCAGAATGGCAAAGAGCAAGCATACAATGCAGAATAATACAAACATGGACTCTTCACAACAATGTCTCTGGGGATCATTCAGGGTAACGTGGTTACATAGCATGGTCCCTATAAGACTCTACAGCAGT